TGTATCATTAAAATTTTGATGAATTTCGGCATTAGTCCGTATAGCCTGAAGAAATAATTCATATTTTATGATTATTAATTTGAGTACTTACCAAATTTATACGTAATAATTAAAATTGAGAATAAATGAATACGAATATATAGAAGGTGATCGGATATATTGTTAGTATCAACTACATAACGATTGACAATCCAGCATGGCTTCAAAGGTATAGCGAGGAAATTGGATACACTTCAAAAGAAAATCGTTGAGGGGCTATAAAAAAAAAGTATTGAAATTATATGTAAAATAACCATATAAAAGCATATATAATATTTAAACTTTGTAGATAAAATAATTGTAAATGTTCTTATTTTCAAATATTAAACGCAGAAATATGTAAAATATATGTAAAAATCTGTATTTGAAGAAGTGATCTTCGTTGTTGTCATATAATTAACATTAGTAATATATTAATAATATTATCCATATATTTAATTTGGTTTTGGTAATTCACAATCACTTAGTTAAAAAGCACAAATATTATTTCATAGGTTAGATACAATTCATATGATTTCTTATTTACCAAAATCAAATTAAAACTTTTTCAAAGTACTTTAAGACGTTCCAAACGATCATTAAAAACTGAGTTAAAATTTTAACTAAACGTTATTATAACTATTGAAGATTACAATAAGTCTAAACATTTCTACGTGAAATGAGTTTTCTCATTTCAAAAAAATTTTTAATAGTCTCTAATCTACCAAAAATATGGACAATAAATTGAAGTTGCTGTACCGAAAGAGATATTATCAAATATATATACATATACAGTAAAACTCACCTCACATGGCGGAATGCAGAGTTCAAAAAGATAAGTCCAGACATAAAAAAAACATCCAATATGGGCAACTAAAAATGAAAAAATCAAAAACACCAATAGCCAGAAGATAAACCACAACGGATTTTTCATTGCTGCTGACGACACTAACGCTGTAAAAGTAATTTTAGAATAGACTAATAAGTTTCTATCCTTATCACCTTTTACTCCGAAATCTTTACTATTCAATTTAAATAGTAGGTATTACAGTATACAATTTCATGAAGCGTTTCAAAGTATATAGCTTCCGTTCACATAACACGATCAGAATTGAGAAACACTTTTATGTTAAAAAATATTTATCTAATTTTTTTAATGAAATATCAAATGTTAATTTCAAAATTAAAACAAATGTCAGTTAAATATGGAAATTACTGAATTGCTTATCTTTATCATAGTCGTATATGAAATTACTCAAATAATACCGTACTTTAATTAATTAGTGTGAAGAGTTTTTTCTCCAGTTTATTAGATATATCGTTACTTACTCAATCTCCATTGTATTTGCGAAAACCAAGTAAGTGGTTAGAAAATAATTATGTACACATAATTACACAGAGTTATAATATTTATACTTTCAACCCAAAACTATGGTTATAGCGTCAACCGTTTATAGATTAAACTAATGTTCAGCGATCACAGTGACTAATCACAGTGAGTTGACTTATTACTTACGTTTTATTTTTATATGTTTTCCATCAAAATATATATTTGTTCCGATTGGTTTGGATTCATATCAATGCTCACATAGGTGTGTAGTCATACCCCATTATTTCTTAAAAATATGTTATAATGTAAGTAAAACTTAGAAGGTTTTTGAATTGCAAAGAAAAAAAGAAAAAACACAAAAATTTTAGGCAATTTATTGAAATTAGGCTGACCATACAACGCTGTTTCGAGTATTGCCAAGTACTCATCATCTTAACTCATTTTCTTAGGAAATAATCGAATTTAATTAGTTTATAGTCTGTATATAACTTGTTTGGACTGCAAGTGTTAGGCTTAGAACTCATGCCTGTCAAATTAGAAGCGATGACTAATCGTGTTTATCCAAAAGTATCCAAGGTAGCACAAACTTTCACTGCTCTAGTTACAGGTTTTTTTTGTGTTTGTTCTTTCTTTCTTTGCTATTCGAAAATCCTCCAAATTCTAAAAATAGCTTCTTTATCATGAATGCCCATGCCTTTCCCCGCCCATGAATGCTTCATTCTTTGCTGTATAGAATATTCAACAGCTTTTGTAGTCCATAACCTACGAAAGGCTTTAAATATCTAGATGTATTCTTTATCGAAATGAAATCAGAAAGATCGACAACGAAATATATCGAACGATGATAAACTAGGCAAACAAAGCTCGTTATATTCCGGAGAATAGCGTTCCCAAAACATATTTTTTGACACAAAAACATATTTTTTGACACATAAAATATGTTTTTTATTGTTAATGATTTTATTAGACTTTTTATTAAATAAATTTATATTACTATATTAAAATATTATTTACACTAACATAAAATATTTTAAAAAAATTAAAACGTTTTTATTGTATATATACATATATATATTAAATTGTATTAAAATGGTGATTGGCAATCCATCATTGCCTGTGCACAGTAATGAGGAAATTGAACGATTTGCAACAACATATCAGTAAGACCCTGAAAATTAATATTCATTAATTATTAAATACATTATTAATAAATTTAATAAAAAAATGTTTCAAAATTAATATAAAAAAAAAACAAAATTTAATTGAAAAATGAATTTTACTCAAATTTTACTCACCGATAAGCCCGAACAACACACCACTAACACATACACGAAAATATAGAACCAAGCAGCAATAAATGCAACCCAGAATGATATGAAAATTAATACTAAAAGCCAGAAAATAAACCAGATTGGGTTACCCATGTTCTTGTTTTATATTGCTTAACGGACCTCGAGCAGTAGTGAATCGTTATCTAAAAAGAATCAAAAAAGAAAATTAATTTCGTCATATTTTAAATACTAATTAAAAAATTTTAAAGATTGGGTTAGATTTGGTTACACCGGCGATCCAAAGGAATTCACTTAGATCTATAGACCCATTGTCTTACCGTATATAGTAAAACTCAGAGGTTTAGAAACAATTAAAAGTTATGTGAAAGCTTATAATACTATTCAAGGGAACCTAAAGTGGTGAGGCAGCGCCGCGCATATGCCAAACTGAAACAAAGCAGATAGAAGGCACTACCATTGTCCTCTCCACAATTGCGGCAGGTATGATTGAAATTGGAATTTCAATCTTCTGGCATGATTACCTTAAATGCACTGACATGTTAGTAAACCTACCACAAGACTGATATCTCAACGGTGCACGTCAATGAGAAAATTGGATTTTTCGAATAAAACGCAGAATTCTTTAGAAAAGTAAGCAGATATGTTGAGACGAATATTTATCATATTTTCAACGACAAAGAGGAACTGTATCCTTCACCTTTCACGTAAACAATCTCTTAATTTTGCTCGTAAAAGTCAGAACTATTTGGTTATAGTTGCTCGAAGATGAGAATTTACAAGTATTTTTAAATTGTAATTGAGAGCGCCCCATATTGGGAAAAATTGCCCTGAACTAATGTGGCTGTTTTATCTCGCCTTGCACCAGCAATTTGGTTTAAAGACACGTTGGTAAGTTATTCCTTGATCATAGAAATAAACATAACATGGGGATGGATGTATATTTTCAATATTAGTTGAGATACAAAGATTTCTTTTGTATGAAGTTTAGCTGAAAAAACTTTCTTTTTTTATTAAAAAACACAGTAATAGTTGTTTGAAAAATAATATTTTTATATAATCTTTCAATTATATTATCTTATATATAAAATTAACATTGTCACAATGTTAGTTACCGTACTCCTCCGAAACGGCTTTACCGATTTTTACCAAATTTTATATGCGTATTCAGTAGGTCTGAGAATCGGCTACTATCTATTTTTCATACCGCTAAAGTGATTAGGGAATCCCTACCCAACAAAAATATCCTTATTGCTCTAACAAAAAATTTTTATTTTTTTGACATAAATTTTGTTTATATTTTTGAAAAAGAAGAATTTTTTTCTTAATATTTTATGTAACTACGCCAACAAGTACATCGAGCATTTACATCCACTTCGTTTCTTCGTCTTCGCCTTGCATGGCAGATGGAAAATGTACTAAAAATTTTTCTAAAGATTTCACTAATGATACTATAACAAATACCGACGGATATCCAATATATCGTCGAAAAAATCCCGATAATGGGGGACAATGGCGGGTGGTGCCGTATTCGCCTCTGCGAAGCAAGACATACAATGCTCATATTAATGTTGAGTTTTGCAGTTCTGTGAAGAGCATCAAATATATAAGTATGTCCATAAAGGCAGTGATATGCCTGTGTTTAGAGTAGAAAATACTAATGTAAATGCTACTCCAATGAACAAAAACGGTGAAATTACGCTCTACCAAAAGGGTCGGTACATCAGCTCCAATGAAGCTGTTTGGCGTATCTTCGGTTTTCTAATTCATGAACGGGATCCAGCAGCTGTTCAGTTAGCCGTCCATCTTGAAAACGGTCAGCGTGTATTTTTCACGAACGAGACAGTGATTGATCGTGGTACAAATCCATCTAAATCTACACTCACTGCATATTTTGAATTGTGTAATAGTACGGATGATTTTGGTGCCTTTGCAAGAACATTACTCTATTCACAAGTACCACGCTATTTCACATGGTCTCAAACAAAAAAATGGATGCCCCGCAAGCAAGTTTCACCAGTTGATGCATGTCTCAATTTATTTAAATCGAACGCTTATTTACAGTTAATCCAAGACATACTGAGTGCTTTTATCTTCGACTGTTGTTGGTTAATGTTACTGGCCCCTTATCATTATTATTATTTACAGTCTATCCAAGACAATTTAAATTTGAAGATACAACAGTTGTTGCCAGGGAACTTGGTATCATACAAATCTATTGATTTTAAATTAATAATTTAATAAATAAACTATAATAACTTAAAAATAATATTGTTTGGCGTTTGTTATTTTTATTTTCCTTTTCGTTCATAGCGCTCCATGTCTATTTCATGCATATACCACATACTTACACACTTATAATAAGTAAGTTACTTTTTGTCTACACTAGAATTAATCTAGAAACTAGAAATAATTTATAAGGCAAAACAACGTTTGTCGGGTTATCTAGTAATAATATAAAGGTAAAACTGTATCTGTAAAATACAAGAATTACAGTGAATCAATATGTTGATTGACATTTTATTTAACATTACATTTTCCATGCTAATAACATTTATTTAACATAAAGCTCATGTACATTATCTTCTTGCAAAGCATGCTGGAGTTTTAAGAGTATTTAAAAGGACTCTTAAACTATTTAGATTAAAGCAACAGGTTGTCTGTAAACATTTCACCACATTCCGAAAAATTTTCTTTTCAACATAGCTTTAAAAGCATTTATATCCATAATATTTATGCACAGAAAATATAACTGAGCTTAAAGTTTTGCTTTCTTCTTGTTATATTAAAAACAACTCAAATCTCTATCGAATGCTTAAATGAGAAAAAAGCTTTTAATAACATAAAACCATATGATTTTTGTTTATTTATCAAACGACTCGACAATAATTTCTAGTTAAGTTCCTTCCGTTTGCAACAGCTTCAGTTGTAGTTGCACACCAATACAAATTCAATAAGTTGTTTACAGGATAAGTAGAAATATCTTACACTAGAATTTGTAACTGTTTAGATATTCCTCAATGAATTTTATTATTGTGTTATGTTCGGAAGTACTTAACGGACCAATACGTGCAAAAATGATTTCTACTCTCACTACCACTTGAGATGTGATACATTTTTATAAGGATACGTTGACTTTTTATAATTTGAAATTTAGTCGCACATTATATTTTAACGGGTGTTGACAGATAACTCTGTTATTCGAGCCTATTTATTTAAATTTATATCTTTTCGTTATAGTGACACATTTTTAAGCAAAAAAGTTTTAATATAATTTATTTTAAATTGAATTTTAATATATTAAACAGTGTAAAAAATGTATTTATTTTAATATTTGAAAAGAATTATGTTTATTTTAAATTAATATAAAAATATGTTTAAAAAAAAATTTATATAAATCTTTTAAAACTTGATTAACCATTTATTTGTGAGTTCTTTTATTTGTTTTGGCAATTAAAAAAAATTCGTTTTTTATTGGTTTTAAAGCGATTTGCTCCATTTATACGGATTTGTTAACACA